ATATCTTTTTTATTTATTATTTCTTATGAAGTGTGTAAATAAAATAAGTTGACAAGTAATATAGAACGGAAGGATACTATTTTATTTGTATGTCTCTCCAATAAATTACAATTTATTTAAAAATAAGATTTGGTTAATTTTATTTCAAGGATATTTAATATTAATAATAAAATAGAATAAAAAATAGTTAATAGTTATTTAATTTTATAAAATGATAAGTAAATTAGAACAAGTATATTAAGTAAAATATTGACAATTAACAATATAGAATGTAGGGATATTTCGTCCATCGTTTTCTCCTAGTGTATTCTAGCAACAACTTTACCCCTCCATGAAAAGACTAATTTGCCATCCCACATTATTTATTGTTTTCGTGCAAGTTTTTTTCAAGGCTTAAGTCAGCGACGGCCCCTTAAAGTTGTCTGCATAATTCACTTAGACACCTTAACTAGGACTTGTACCTATTGAACACCTCTACTAATTTGGATTTGAACGCTTTTTTGACAATCAACTAAAAGTATGAAATGTGTGTAATACACCCGCAATGACGTGGAAAATTGACAAATCAATGACGTACATGTGGCATTTTGACCGAAAAAAATAAAAGAAAAAAGAAAAAAATTGAAGTTGCCATCCACCCAGCTACAAATCATGCAACTTGTTGCAATGTCCAATGATGCATTGAGAATTTCTATGAAGTAGAGACAGATTTACTATCAACCATAGTCGTCGTCACTATAGCCCCATCCTCCACCATAGCCATCATCACCTTCAAATCCTCTTAATCCACTAATTTTTTTTAAGTTGAAAATAGCAAATTACATATACATAAAAATTAATCAATACATGTACCTACAAAATATGAACCATTTATAATTTTAGATATCAATAAAATCATTGACTACATAATCATCTAAGCAATACACGGAGAAAGGAGGAAGGAGAGATGATTCATTTTTTATTTTAAATCTGATTTGTTAGATATATTTTTCAATAAGAAAAAAAAATGGAAGAAGAAACAGAGTAGTCATTGTATGAGTCTCTATTTTTTCCAGTAAATAAGATCACAATATCCAGCAAATTTAAAGAAAATGGAGAAGAAAATCGTAATGGTGTTTCTCCAGTTGAATACGATAGAGGTGAGGGGGAGGGAGAGGAAGAGGAGGCGGGAGAAAAAAAAAGGGTGGAAGGTGGTGGTGGCAACATCGACGGCGACGACGGAGATGGTACTGATTTTGGAAGAGGAGGCAGGGGAAAAGAAAAGGGTGGAAGGTGGTGGTGGCAACATCGACGGAGATGGTACTGATTGTGGAAGAAGTTATGGCTAAAGAAGATGGAAGAAGAGAGAGATTTTTTTTAAAAAATAAATCAAAAATACGTTCTGACGTGCTAAATGGATGTGTATTACACCTTCCTTGCCATGTTAGCGAAAAGTGTCAAATAGGTACTTATTCTGAACAATAGAAGTGTTCAATAGGTACTAGTCCAAGTTAAAGTGTTTAAATGAATTATACGGACAGCTCTAAGGGGCTGCAGATGACTTAAGCCTTTTTTTAATAACATATATTAATTAGTAGTAGTTATTAATTAATTCAAATAAATCAATGAGATGTTTAACTTAATATTTCAAATTAGAATACAACAAATCGTCAAATTAGCTGCAGGATATTTTAATTGCTAATTGTATCATAAAGAAGACGAAAAGATATATATTTCTGACCTGTGACCTGTGAGAGTGTCTAGCTATTAGAGAGTTATGGCCTAAGTCAGGAAACTAATATCCATCTGTTTTGTTCTTCTCCAGGTTGGCTTGTTTCACATGGCACATTATTTTACAGCTATATATGTCACCCTACTATATACACAGTTCAATTTTTATAATATATGTTTTCATCACTGACCAGTTCACTGCACTTGTAAAATTATTACAAGCCCAAAAATTTGATATTTTGTTAAAATTATTAAATTCGATCGAATCAATAACTGGTTAGTTATAGTTGTCATTGTCCCAATTGGTAAATATCTTCCATGAGAGATTATATATATAACATGAGTTATTACAAACAAATAATTAGAGGTGATAATAGATAAACAATTAGAACAAATTAAATAAGAAAAAAACAATTGATATCTTCTCGAATCATAGAATCTTCATTCCATATCAGCCAAATTGTCAAAGGGTATCTATCAAAGTTAGAATGTGTTTCAAAATATATAGCGTTCGTCTTTTATTGATATGAATAAAGAAAACATAATAATACAATATATGAATAAAAAATTGGTATACTTTAGTAAGTCAAATAAATTTTAATTAATCTTTCTAATATATTCTAAATTGTTAACTTTTAAATTTTAATTTTTGTAATGTAATTTTAAATATAAAAAATTATTTCTAAAAGCGTGAAGACCTTCTACTCGTATACCCACCAAAATTTCGTATTCGGAACCTCATCAGTCATCACAAAAAGTAAAACAAAAATAGTACAAAAAAACAAGAGGGAAGATAAACAACATAAAAGTACTCCCTTCATTTTTGACATTTATTAATACTTCTAATCAATCACTAAATAAAATAATTTTGTTCTATCAGAGAGTAAGAAAAATGTACCTAAGCACATAACTTAGCCCCTATATCTTTCGATATCCGTATTGAAGCCTGATTACAATTGTGATTATAGTACTACTCTATTGCTCTGACCATTTTATATTACTTAGCTCCAATATTAAAACTTATTACTCTGATTTATAATTTTAATTTTTAATTTTAAATATTATTCCTTTCATTCACTTTTTCTTGTCATATTTTAACTTGCCACGCCCATTATGTATTTTATTAAACTGTCCTATTAAATGATGTTTAGTATTAAGTCTTGAAAAATGATTTGAAGAAAAAATATTTAATGTTGAGGGTAAACATATAAAAAATATACTCCAATTTATTTTTTCTTGATATGTCAAAAGTGACAAGTAAAAATAAATTGAGGGAATAGTCAAATTAAAATAGTACAAACAGAAGAAGATTACATCATGTTAACGTCACTGCTCACATACCCAATTTAGTAAAAAAGGCAAAATAGGTGTGCCATTAAAACAAAAGGGTAATAATGGAATTTCGAAAGCAGTTTCGAGATCCCTAGATGTAATGTGTGGGCATTATTCATCATTACAAATGATTTTCCCGAAGATGCTAACGGTACTCGTAGTAGCATGAAAATATATATGCTCCCCTCCTTCATGTTTTGACACCTGTAAATTTCAGCTACATTCCACATTAATTTCTGTGAACTCCATGTGACGTTATCATTCCCCTTTCTTCAGCCGCTGTATTGAAGTTGTTAATTGCTTATCACACACTGGATGACACGTGGTCATCAAAATTGGCGCGCATGGTATTTCGCCTTCTGTTTTCATTTTATTGACCGAAATACCCTCCATATATCTTTTTAGTACTAGATGATACATTTGGGTGTGTTTAGTCGAAAGTGAAACACTCACTGTCTCAAGTTTGTTAGATTTGACACGAAATTTAAGAAATAGACAATAATTTTTGAAATTTATCATATACAAAGACTTTTTTTATAAATATTTTACTTAGACACCTCAACTAAGACTAGTACCTATTGAACACTTTTATCTATTCAAAAATTGTTCCTATTAGACATTTTTTGATAATCAACAAAAAATATGAAGACTGTGTGATATACTTGCGGTGACATGGCAAAATAGCTAATTAAAAAATAACATGTGTCACTGGGCCCCGAAAATTATAAAAAAAATAATTTTGTTTAAAATTATTTCAAACACATCTATATCTAATTTTTTTAAAAAAGAAAACGAAAAAAAATGAAAATGTCAACCTATTCTACCCAACCCCCCTTTCATCTTCATCATTTTCCCAAAACAAATTCTTTCTCAAATCACAAAATCTACCATTTCATCTTCTTCCCAAACACACATTCATTTTCAAATCATAAAACCTAATTTATTTTCAAATAACTTGAAGATTAACTTTTTTTAAAAATATATATATATTTTCATCCTAAGAGTGAAAAAGAAAGAAATTTTTTTTGGCGGTTATTCAAATTTTCGAATATCATTTTTGATAAATTTAATGTGTTTATATATGACTTTGAGTAAAAATATTTGTTCGAAAATTGTGATAAATAAATATCGGCTAACTTTTTTTATACGTAAAGTTATTTATCTTGTTTCTCTTCTTCATATTTGTTCTATTATTTTTATGAGATTTGAAATAAATCATACAAAAGAAAGTCTTTCTTTCAAATGTGAATCGTATGATTTCTTCATAGTTGATTTTCATTTATCTTCATATTTGAAAGAAATAATATTCTTTTTTTTTTATATAAAAAAGAAATAAAAACAATGTTGGAGCTAAAGTGGAGAAAGCTTTGCAAATTAAATTATGAAGAAAATGACTGTTAGGGGGTGGGGTGCTTTTCTTTTTTGAAAAAAGTGTAAATAAAAGAAGAAAAATATTTTTAAGTTAATTATAATGCCAAGTGTCAATAAAAGAGGAAAAAATGTAAAAAAATAATTAAAAAAGACACTATTTGAATCTTTTCACGCGTTTCAGGGAAGTGCAAAACACAATTTTTGCTATATCAACATTTTGTGTTTAATAGGTACATGTTTTGAACAATTTAGGTGTTCAATAGGTACAAGTCTTACGTGTCTAAGTGAATTATACGGATAACTTTAAGGGGCGATCGATGACTTAAGCCATTACAAAAGGTAAACAAGCGGTGATGATGTATGTATAACAGTCCCATAAAATATCCATCACCATCCATCCACATACATGTGTAAATCACCCCCTCCCCCCGCTTCTCTCCCCCAACCCCTACGCAAAGCTAGAAAAAAAAAGAAAAAGAGAAGAGGATTTGACTTCGTTTTGATTGAGAGAAAGAGAAGAATTGGTAAGGAAAAGAAGGAATGAAGAAGAAAATTCAATCCAATTGAATACAACTTTGACGTCCGTAAACATACTCTCTCTCTCTTCAACTTTCTCTCTCTAAAAAAAATTATACAGCTAAGAAGCTGAATCTATCTACTGAAAGCGCAGTGAAGTTCAAAAAAGTTGACGCTAAATTTTGTGTGTTTTTTGTGCTTGTAGTTCCGTGTAAGGAATATACTCAATCTTCGGTGGGTCGGTGTTGAAATTGTCTTCTGGTAAGTCTTCTTTGCTTTCTATTCTAAAGCTGGATACAGGTTGCTCATTTTGAGCTTTGGATCCACTATTTAGGGTTTGATCAAGTGTTCATATGGTTGTATAAGTTTTCTGCTTATTTTTCTTTCTTTTTTGTTCAGTGTTCAATCAATTACTGCAGCTTCTTTAATTTTTGTTTTGGGTAATATTCTCTATCTGTTGCTTTTTTGAATTTGTGTTTTTTAAAGGGATAAGGATGAAGTTTGATGTCTGTCTTTGAAACTGTTGAGATTTGGGGTTTTGTGTGTCCAATATTCTGATTAGATGATTTAAAGTAAGGTTGGATAGGGTTAATCTATCTTTCTCGGAAGGGAGGGAAAAATTGACACAAAGTTGAACAACTCTTGCAGTGGATGGTGCAGCAAAAGACAGTTATTTGAGAGGAAAGAAGTCTGGTTTAGTTGTTTCAGAGACGAGTTTCCATCTTTTGGGTAAAAATTGGAGACTTTTTGTCTACCTCAGATACATTTAGTAATCACTCGCTTAATTGAATGACATTATTGGTTTTGCTTGGTTCTCCGACTAGTTATTTCTTCGGAGCAATTGAAGTTTCTTGAGCTTAGTGGGGGATTTGATGCCATTTTATGAGTTTTCTCTACTCACTTGAGGCTTTTATGCCATTTTTTAGGAAGTTTCTATATTTGCTCAAGTGTTGGTAGATTGTGTACTTCTTGGTGAAAAATGGTTCCAACAGGGCCTCCTAATCCAATTGGAGGTTCCCAGTCTGTACCGTCTTCATTACTGCGATCAAATTCCGGTGTAATGGGTGGTCAAGGGGGCTCCATGCCTTCACCAGGTGGTTTCCCTTCTATGGTTTCTCCTCGGACAATGTTTGGTAACATGAATATGCTAGGGAATGCTCCCAATGTTTCACATCAGTCCTTTGCAAATGGAGGTCCTAATGCAGGGCTGGCTGGACCAGGAAGTTCTCAGCGTGGTCCTGTTGATAATGGGGCCGAGACTGATCCACTTTCTGGTGTAGGAAATGGGATGGGTTTTAGTGCTCCTTCAACGTCATTTATGTCATCAGCCATGGCGACAAATCCAAATAGCAGTCAAGTTCAAGGACAGCAGTTTCCTAACCCCTCCGGTAACCACATGTTGACTGACCAACAACGATCCCAACAGCTTGATTCCCAGAATTTTCAACATAATCAACAGTTGCAGCAGTTTTCTTCCCCTATCAATTCCCAAACACAGCAACAGCAGCATCAATTTCAATCCATGCGTGGTGGATTAGGAAGTTTGGCACCTGTCAAAATGGAAACACAGGTGACTAATGATCAAACACCGCAGCAGTTGCAAGCTCTGCGAAACTTGGCACCTGTTAAAATGGAACCACAACAGATTCAAAGTATGAGAGGTCTTGCGCCTGTCAAAGTAGAACAACAACAATCAGACCCATCTTTATTTCTACATCAGCAACAACAGCAGCAGCAATTCCTTCAGATGTCCAGGCAGTCCCCTCAAGCTGCTGCTGCTGCACAGCTTTTGCATCAGCAGAGGCTAATGCAGTTCCAGCATCATCATCAACTCTTGAAGACTGCCCCTCAACAACGAAACCCATTACAACAACAATTTCAATCACAGAATCTTGCTGTCAGACCTCCTGTAAAGCCAGTATATGAGCCTGGGATGTGTGCCCGTCGGCTGACTCATTATATGTATCAGCAGCAACATAGACCTGAAGTAAGAAGAATGGGTCAACTAGATCATTGTTTGGCATCTATGCACTGCACCCTACCCCACTGCTTTCCCAGATAATGAAAAAGGAAGTATGATATCGATTTTTTCCCTAACATATTGCTCTACCTTCTTTATAGGACAATAACATTGAGTTCTGGAGGAAATTTGTTGCTGAGTATTTCGCTCCCAATGCCAAGAAAAAATGGTGTGTATCTATGTATGGAAGTGGTCGGCAGACTACTGGAGTTTTTCCTCAGGTTCACTGCTTATGTGGAAGCTATTTACATTTTTGTTTTTGTAATGTTTTTTGTTCTCCCATCAAATGAAAATGGAGTTGTAACTTTCATGCTACAAGTTTAGTATCCTATTACAGCATAGATATATTTTCATCTCAGATACTCCTTTAGCTTGTTCTATAAATGATGCTGATTAGCTGTAGAACAACTGTTAGCAAATGAGTTTATATCTTTGATTAATATTGTGTAAATTGCAGGATGTGTGGCACTGCGAAATATGCAGCCGCAAGCCAGGCCGTGGGTTCGGTATGTTATTTGCAGCATCAAGCTCTTGAATTATTTTTTGGTCCTAGAAGCACTTAACAAACTTTGTGGCTTAACAAAACCCTTTCTTTAATTAATTCATCTTTATTAATTCGGTTTTCCTCGCAGTTGATAATTCTGTTTCAGCATCTGATAAATCTCAAATAATTTTTTCTCAGAAGCGACTGCTGAGGTTTTGCCCAGGCTTTTCAAGATAAAGTATGAAAGTGGCACTTTGGAAGAACTTCTCTATGTTGATATGCCCCGTGAATATCAGAATTCATCTGGGCAAATAGTCCTAGATTACGCAAAAGCGATTCAGGAGAGTGTCTTTGAGCAACTTCGTGTTGTCCGTGATGGTCAGCTTCGCTTAGTGTTTTCACAACCTGATTTGAAGGTTAAATGAAAGGCTGATAGTTTTATATTCTGTGAAGTGCTTATTCATGGACAGTTGAGACCTAGCATGGTGTATATTAATTTTATAATTCGTTTGATCTGGATTTCTTTTGTATCTACTTGGCAGATAGTTTCTTGGGAATTTTGTGCACGACGTCATGAGGAGCTTATCCCTAGAAGATTGTTGATACCTCAGGTTAACAATTTTACCTTTCAACTGCCATTCCGCAGATGCATTATGAAGTCATGCTTCAACTGTGATTTGAATCATACACTTCTATTCACTGATAGCAAACTTTTAGGTGGCCTAGGTTTAAATATACGTAAAAAAAAGTCGGTTGATTTTTTTCTTCAAAAATTTTTGAAGATGCTTTATAAATTCTACTTGAGAAGTAAAGAACTTCAATCGAATTTCTTGCCACATCTGCTATGGCAGAAGCCTTTTCGTTTCATTGACCTGGAACTATGTGCTAATTCAGTGCGATTGATCTTTATTATCGACATTACTTATGTAATTGGATGAGAGTATGGTCGTGTAAGTATTTGTGGTCACTATTTCCTTTTTCTTTTGTCTGTTGGTACAAGCTCTATATACATGGAAGTACAAGATTTCAGTTGCATTTTTGTTCTTTTCTAATTTCAAAATTTACCTGTTTCTTCTTCTTAGCAATATAGAACGGTTTAGAAGCATCTTATTCTCTATCCTCATCTTGTGATATTGAAGTGGTAAGGGCTGCTGGACAGACAGCTCTAAACTGCTTTTTAGATGAATCAAGCTCCAATTAGTTGTTTGTGGTTGCAATTTCTGTTAATTAATGGAAAGAATTGACTGTTCGTAATTGTATGGCATTTCTATTTGTTTTTTTCTTCAGTTTTGTGGAGAATCTGTCTCTGGAAAATGTTTTTGAAAACTATTGCATGGCTGGATTGTGTTCGGATTTAATATTGTTTTTTGAAGTATTTGGTGGATTGTATTGCGTTCTTGAAGATTTTTTTTGGTATCCTGAGTTTGAGCTGGTTTTGCATTGGGTAGAAGTTCTAACCCTGGTTAAGGCCCAAGGGTTTGGATATGTTATGGTCACGGGATAGTTAAGATGTGATGGAGAAAAATTCAGAACAGTTTTATTGGGTGATGTTGATGCTATCTGAGGTCCATGGAACAGGACTTTGATGCTCTAAGTTGTGCATGTTTTAAGAAATTTGTGTTAGCACAGGATAACAAAGTATAATTTAAATAAGCTCCGACTTCAAAATGGAAATTGAGGACTTGTAAAAAGGAGTTGTGCTTTTAATATGATCACTTGCGATTCTAACTATTCCTTGGTATATTTTTCAATCACAACTGGCTTCAAATGCCTAATATCAAGATCTTTTCGCTGATAAAATTTGGAATCAAATTTTCTCTCAGTAGGATTGTTAAAAGAGTAGTACTGGTTGATGGATCTTGGTGCACCAAATTGGACACAACTCAATTAAAAAAATCAAAACACAAATGAAAGCTAGATCTAAGCTAGTAAACCTCGAGTTTATTTCATAACCTTCAGATTTTGTTATCTTTTTGTTTTTGCTTGTATGCCTGTATTATAGTGAACTACTACTATATGATAAAAGTGTGCTACAAAAAAGAAACCAAATGTTAGAAATTAAACTTCAATTGACAATGTATAGAAACATGGACTGAAGTAAGCTTTAAATGTGTTCGTTGTATGAGGATTTACTTAAACAATTCTATGTTTGCTATCTAATAATACTTACATCTGGATTTCCACAAGATATTTAATTAAATATGCTATAATATTAAGTTCTGTCTTTCGGTGTTAGTTTCCTAGCTTTGTCAATGTGCAGTAAGTATGGGGTGAAATACTTTTGGCGCCAGATTTGCTACAACTTATATTTAAAAGAAAGAAAAGAAAAACAAAAGCTAGATTGGAACCGGTAAACACAAAACTCATTAATTTTCACCTAGAGCTGCACTATCTTCTGTTTTTTTTTTTTTTTTTCCTGTTTAAGTGTGCATATAGTGAACTAGGATCTGATATATGCATATGATAAAAACTCATTTTCGAGTAACCAAGTAAAGGATTCATGCTTTAACTATCATTTTTGTATTATGAGTTACTTAAATGAAGTGCCTGTTTGGGCAAATTTCTTGGAGGCCAAAAGTACTTATTTCAAAATTTGAAGTGTTTGGCCAATAAGTAGAACTGCTTTTGAGTAGCAGCAAAATCAGTTTTTTTGCTATTGGAAAGAAGTTAGAATTTCTGCTTCTTAAAAAAGGTGGAAGTAGAATTTTTTTTTTTCAAACAAAAAATTTCCCTACCATAAATACATACTTATCATGCATAACGCCTCATCAAGTTATTACTTTTTTATTATAGAACAACCATTTCCTTTTCTTTTAAAAATAGAAGAAAATAATGACTAGCTTTCAAATTATCTCATTTCCTTTGACTCTTAATATTAGTATCCATGCATTTCATGCCGAAGTTTTTTTCGTCTTTTATTTCGTTGTGTGAATGATTTTGCTTATTTTTGTGGTAAATACCCCATATATGGTTATTTAATTTGAGGATTAATTTTTTAATATATATTGTTTAATGTTTCTTAGTATATTCAAATCATCATGTTAATATTATACTAATATTTAATATTTTCATTGATTTATTAATATGTACCATATATTGAAAATTTTAATATGTATTTTAATTTTAATTAGATAACAGTACAAACTTGATCAAAGTCTTTCATTATTGATACTTTTAAAATAATATTTCTCTATAGAATAATCTTAATTATAAACGTGCATTAATACATGTCATAATTTGACACTCAAAATCATTTTTGTTAGAAAGATTAGCCTAACACGATTTGCTTATCAAATATGAAAAAACACATGCCAAACACATCGCTTTTCTCCCAAAGTACTTTTTTGGGAAGCTATTTTATAGAAAATGCTTCTCAAAATAAACAAATATTAGCAGCTTGGTCAAACAGTTTCTCTATGTGTGCCACTTAACAATTTTAGCGTTTGATTAGGAAGTGACATCTAATTAAACATGCTTTCTTAATAGATCAGTTGGCTTTTGTTTCGTATGTTTAAGTTGCACGGACTCTTCAATTTCGATGCCGCACTCGTGCCGGATCTCCAAAAATACACTACTTTTGGAGAATCCGACACGCACCAGTTGACATTTTTGAAGAGTCCGAGCAACATAACTGTAGGTTTGTCATGCTATTTTTCATGTTTTGGTACACTCATTAGGTCCATTGAAGAACCGTTAGTACAATATTTTTAAGAGATCTTGTGCACAATGAGCAATGTTATTAAAGCATGCTTAATCTCTGAAGCATGACTCATAACACGTTGAACGCTTCACCCTACTTAATGTGCCCTTCAGTGTCGTCATTAAGGCTCTAAGACACACTTTTCCTTGTGAATGAGCGTTCCCTGAAGAGGCGACTCTAAACCATTGTTATATCATTTTATCCTAAAAACAATAAATTTCTTTGTCCATATATATATATATATATCCATTTACGCTTTTCTCAATAAAGCCAACGCTTTATTTGTGCTCAAAGACCAACGCTTTTTTTGCGCTTTTGATAACACTTACGGTGAGTGGATCAGGTTTTCTACTTCAGGATGTCTCTTTGAAGCAGTTCTCAATTTATTGTGTGTGATCGTACTTCTGTGGCATCTAGTTGTTTTAGCATATAATTTTTATGTTAGCTGGATGTCGTTTTAGTTTTGAGTGTTGATGTTGCATATGAGGTAGGGGCTATAGAATCATTTCTGATTTGCCTATTATTGTTTTGATATGCTGTACAGGTTAGTCAACTTGGTGCTGCGGCTCAAAAGTACCAGGCCGCCACCCAAAATGCATCATCTAGTGCGTCTGTTTCTGAGTTGCAGAATAATTGCAATATGTAAGTCCAGATACTTACATTAAGGCGTTCATTCTAAGTATTGGGTTGGGAATATTCCATAACTTTGTTTGATTGTTTTGTTGCGTTACAATTTCTATTTAGCTATCTAACCCTCTTTTTTAAGAGGTTTGCAATAGACTAACTTTGTTTAATGGTAGTTGTTGTTGCCTAGCAATTTCTATTTTGAATTTTGAATATCTAACCCTCTTTATTAAGAGGTAAGCTGTGGCCAATTATTAGATCGCCGTCATTAGTGGGCAGTGATGATGAGATAGGATCTATTTGTAATTCACATTTTATACAGCTCTGTTTTTGGCATTGAGCTTTAATGGTCTTTACTGGTGCTGTTACCTGCTCTTTCTTAGCTTAGGTTAGCCTCTCCATGCTAAGGTAAGATGTTCTACCAATGAGTTGCTCTAGTAAGCTTTTGGCTATCCAATAATTTTCTTAAAGCTGAAACTTACTGTCATCTGATTCAGTGATTTACCGGGTACATATTTTCTTGTCTTTCCTTTGTTGGATGAATTTGGTATAATGGAGTATGGTCAATTTAGCATACTGTTGAACCTTAGAAACTCAAACTCTTTAAACATTATTATGAATGTCTAGTTGATAAATATTCTACCACAATGGTGTGTTTAGGTGCATGGCTGTCTACCTTCCTTCAATACTTTTTTTTTTATTGAAAGTTGAACTTTGGAGTGTCATGATTTTGGGGTGTGGGTTGAGGATGTTGACAGTGACCTGCGTGAGTGTTGATTTATATTCTAGTCCTCTCAGTGCTATGGTGACATATGGGAGGAGCTAGGGATGTCATCTGGTGGACCTACCAAAAGGGAAAGGAATAAATCTTCTTCCCATGGAATAACATTAATCTCAGGAGCTGTGAGTAGTGGTTTGAGGTGGTGGGGTGAGGGTATGTAAAGATATGCATGCCCTTTGAAAAAGTCAGAAGTGATCCATGTAAGCATTCAGTTGTGAAGTTATGTTTAGAGATTCCTTGATTCTCAAAATTTTATTAAGATTGTGAATCTGCTATCATCATGTGTTCCTTTATTTAGCTTAGATGTGTGAGTTATTTTGTAATTTTGACTTCTAATTGCGCTTCAGGTTTGTTGCTTCAGCTCGTCAGCTAGCAAAAGCTTTGGAAGTTCCGTTAGTAAATGATTTAGGATATACAAAGAGATATGTGAGATGCCTACAGGTATGTACCTTGTTCTGACATAGAGAGCTCCTCTTTCCCCCCTTTTCTGTCCCTTGTGTAGGTTTTTGTTTCAGTAGTGGGAATAGTCCTCATGTATCTATTGAGTCACTAAATGTGATTGTTGGAATTTTAGCTACTGTAATAGTTAGTTATTAAGGGTCTTGGCCAGCTTATGCATCTCTCTTTTTATGTCTGATTCAAAAGTCAATCAGTTCTGTCGACCTGTCTTCAGTTCATTTCTTTCCATATGTCCTCCTGCTGTTTTCAGAGCAGATTCAAAAACAGAGATGAATTCAATTCTTTAACAGTCCGCAGGTTAGAGATGGTTGTTAATGTTGTGGATTTAAAAATTCCTTTTAATAATGTGTAATTAACTCATGTATAATGCTTCAGCTTTTCTCTTGGATACAAATATGTGGTGTAATGTTTTCCTACTGTTGGTTGTCTTTCCTTCAGAAATTGACTTCGTTTGAAAATGCTTGTTCTAGCAGGAAGTCAAGGTCTTTTGGTTTTAGGTTCTTCTAATTCAGTTTATTTATTTCTCAAATGTTTTATAATCATTAATTTTGAAACCAAATATAAAGTTGCTTTTGTGTGATAACATCTGGTCAAATGATGTTTTGCTTGTGTGATTAACTATGGATGTGTTGTGTTCTTGGTGGATTGCAGATATCGGAAGTGGTAAATAGCATGAAAGATTTGATTGACTATAGCAGGGAGACAGGGACCGGACCCATGGGTAAGTTCAACCTACTTAACCTTTCTATTAGTTCCTTACATCACAGTTCAAATTTCCTGACCTTGTGACAAACTAATGACTCACTAACATAGGAGGATAGATGGGGTTGTTTTCCTGTGAGTTAGTGTTGCATACAACGACAACAAAATACCTAGTGTAATTTCACAAGTGGGGTCTGGGGAGGATAGAGCAAACACAGACCTCAACCCCCCTACCTTTGGATGTAGAGAGGCTGTTTCCGATATACCCTTGGCTCAAGGAAAAGGAAATAGCGGAACTAAAGAAGCTACTAACATGGCATATTGCCAACTAATTGATATTTTCTCTATAAGGTGTTTTTTCCTTCCGTTGTGACCCATTTTTGCTAAGCCTACATAGATTCTAAGAATTGTACGTTTTTCGAGACACTATCGAGCTAGTGTTGTATAAATAATAATGTATTTCACAAAGAGGCATCTGATTGTTATTTAAAGGTGTCCCAGGAGTTTGATTCAATGGGAAATGTGTGCTACGCTGTTGGTGCTCCAAGTTTGGTTCTAGGTGAAGTGTAGAGAATTAGGCCGATTATCTTCTTGTGAGGATTGTATTGGAGAAGAATATTATTGAAATTGTGTATCTGCATTATTACATAGAGACCCTATTTATAGACACTACAATATAATCCTTTACCAAGTAGGATACTATTTACTATTTCTATTACTATTCCTATTCGTATTCTAAATAGGATTTTATAAACCTATTCCTATTCTATCACTTCTTTTAATAAGTAAAGAATGACACTTAAATAGAGAGGCATTAGGATCATTATCCTGAATTTCTAAGCTGAAACAACGGATTTCTTAGTCAACCAAAAAAACAGAAAAAGAATAAGAGAGCAAATTGGGGGGGGGGGGGGGGGAGGGGGAAAAAGAAAGAAGATTGCCTTTTGAAGTAAATTTTGCTCATACCATGAAATTGCTTTGCGGATGGAAAATAGAAACCATCATGTGTCTGAGTAGAGAACCCATGGGACAAAGCAGATTCCGCTGCATCGTTAGTCAACTTTGTTGGTAATATAACTATCATTTAATAACTAGAGCCATGCAATATGCATGAATGTGGGGGACTAGAGAGTAGCACACTCAACTCTTGCAAACTAAGGCTCACTTTCATATTGGACATAATGTATCGTTAATTTTCTCGCTGATGCTGACACTGTCTCTATCAATGATGTGTTAGACTCATTATAGGGATAGGACAGTGCCTTTAGAGTTCATTATGTAAATATGGTTTCAGTACAACCCATTTACTGATTTAAAGAAATAGAAACAGTTACCAATCTCAAAAAAAAAAAAAAAAATTCTCGCTGATGCTCATTGATCCAGTTGCATAGTTTCCCCCCTGAATTTCTTATCAATTCCCTCTTTTGCCCCAAAATATATCACTTTTCCTAGTGGCATTCTGGATTTGGTGTTTAGTCTTTTTTCGATAATGAGGATTTGGTGTTTTATATCTTAGTGCTACCTCTTTGTGCTCTGGAGTTTGCTGTGGTATTTAAGTCCCAGGAGACCGGGTAAGTGGTCAAGTGTTTCCCCAACATTCATGAAGTTCAAGTGGTAATCTACCAAAATTCAATTTGTGGGGTAAATGAGTGGGAGCTCAACTTATCATTAATCAGTTTTTATGTCTGGCCCAGTGTTATCCTCTCTACCTGTGATGCGTATGTGAGTGGGCCATTTTTGTGTGCGCTAATTGATAATTTGGAGTAGATATTCAACTTGAGCTTGATGAACTTTTTTTTTTAATTTTCATCTAGTATTGATTATCTGTCCTGTGTTTATGTTTAACATTATTCTTACTGTTCACATTGTGCCCAACTCTTAATTTTCCAGAGAGCTTGGCTAAGTTTCCTCGTAGGAACGGTTCTTCAGCTGGAGTACAAGGTCCAGTTCAATCAACTGAGGATCAGACTCAGCAGCAGCAGCAGCAGCAACAACAGCAGCTGCAGCAACAACAACAACAGCTGCAGCAACAACAACATACACATCAAACAGTCAGTAGCTCGAACCATGAGACGACTTCACAGCCTGGTGTACCGCCTCTACCTTTGAGCAATGGTATGTCGAATGTAAACAATTCTGTGAACCAAGTAGCTGCTACTTCGTCTAGTGGTACAGTTGTTGGATTACTGCACCAAAATTCCATGAACTCCAGGCAACAAAATCCAGTGAATGGTGGAAGTAGTACCTACTCAGGAAATGCTGTCCAAATGCCTTCACCTAATACTTCAAGTACAATGCCTCAGTCTCAACCCAACTCTTCTCAATTCCAGTCTCCAACACCATCATCATCCAACAATCCACCACAAGCTTCACACAGTGGCTTATCATCAGTGCAACACATGAACTCTGCAAATTCCCCAAAAATCACAATGCAGCAACCAGCCCATTCAAGTGACGTGGATGCTAATGACTCTCAGAGTTCTGTACAAAAGATCATACATGAAATGATGATGTCTTCACAGCTCGGTGGCGGTGGCATGGTAGGTAATGGTACTATTGGGAATGATATAAAAAATGGACATGGGATGTTGGCAACAAGTAATAATTCCCTTCTCAATGGAAGCAATTGCCTTGTTAGGAATGGGACAGCCAATGCTAACAGTACAGGTGTTGGTTCTGGATTTGGGAGTATGAACAATGGACTGGGACAAGCTGCAATGGTTAATGGAATGCGTGCTGCATTGGGTAATAACCCTTCAGCCATGAATGGGTTAGTGGGCATGACAATGGTGAGAGAACGTAATATGAGTCAACAGCAACAAGATCTGGGAAACCAACTGCTAAGTGGTTTAGAAGCAGTCAACGGTTTTAACAACCTGCAGTTTGACTGGAAAACATCTCCGTAAAAAGGTTCAGGTTGGCAATTATTTGGCTATGTTCTGCTGCTTGTGTTGCAAAGATTGTTTGATGAGTTTGCCTCTCATGATGAGAGTAGCCATGGTTGCTGAAGCAGAAGTGGTTTCAAAGTTTGCCCCGTTTGTACTGATTTGAGTGGGAAGGACAACGTATAGGGTGGCATCTTAACAGCTGAAATGTTATCTCATCCGAGAGTGCACTCTCTTCTAACTTGATTTTGCCTGGTTTGTCGTAGCTGCTCCTTTAATGGGACATTCAGGGAACGACTTGGCTAATGGACTGCTACATTCAATCTGTTTATACCATGCGGAGGCATTTGTTAACTATGTATGGGCTGAGCTATTGCCCCTATCGTACTGCATCTCTACACCACTCCAGAGCATGCAGTTGTATATAGTTGGGGTTCTGTTGTAGAGCTTTCAGTAGCTTCTATAATTGGCACCGGTGCAATCATCATTTCCTCTCTCCTTCCTACTTGTCTTTCTGTTAGGCTTATTTGGAGTGGCTTGACAGGAAAAAAGAAAGTAGGAAGAGGCTTGGTGGAATTAAAGTAAATCCATTAGTATCAAGTTATATCTGAAGGAATTTGATTTTAAGCACTGGAATTTTCATAGGGGCATAATTTGAAGTATTTCTATTAGCCTGTTGATTAGGAATTGCTGGCTTGATTTTAACCCACAGATGTTTGTTCTAATTGCTTTACAAAGTAGAAAGAGCCAGTTGCTCATGTTTTTTGCTGGAAAAAATTAAACCAGTGATGAGGCGGTCCTACTTTACTCTTGTTGCCATCATCTTTAACTTGTTATTGGCTTTCTGGAGTGCAGTGTTTTTCTTTTATTGAACTGCGAGGAGAGAGATGCTATTGCAAGGATACTAGTCATGAAGAAAACTTGTCGGCAACATATTCTGGTGTCTCTACTGCCGGCAACTCCATGAGCTCCAGAGAGATCATCGACAATGGAGCAGCAGAAACCTATCATTTGCAATTCTTAATTTATATAGTTTGAATCTCGAAAGTTCAAAATCTCAGGTCCGACGAAGTTAATGTAATGAAAAGAATGCATGTAGTATAAAATAAAGAGTTCAGAGGAGAACCTTTTTAAATGTTCATAAATTGCGTTCAAATTACAATATTAAAGTAAATTTATTGACAAATACTAGTAGGAATAACGTGGCGTTTTATAGAAAAATAATAAATATAACGAGGGTACTTCGTAAATATTGTCGATATCAAATGTCAATTACAAAGCAGAACAATGTATGTATAACAGTCCCATAAAATATCCATCATCGATCCGTCCACATGCATGTGTAAAGAAAAAAAAAAGAGATTTGACTTCGTTTTGATTGATTGAGAAAAGAGAAAATTAGTAAAGAGAAGAAGAAGAAATAAAGAAGAAAATTCATTCCGATTGAATACAATTTTGACGTCCGTAAACACACTTTCTCTCTCATCAACTTTCTCTCTCTAAACAAAATATACAGCTAAGAAGCTGAATCTATCTACTGAAAGGAACCACAGTGAAGTTCAAAGAAGGTGACGCTAAAATTTGTTTGGTTCTTGGTGCTTGTAGTTCCGTGTATGGAATATACTCAATCTGCGGTGAGTCGCTGTTGAAATTGTCTTTTTGTTTTCTAAAGCTGGCTGCAGGTTGCTCATTTTTATCATTTATTGCGAGATTTAGGGCTTGATCAAGTGTTCATATGATTGTATAAGTTTCCTGCTTTGTTCTTTTTTCTTTTTTCTTTAGTGTTCAATCAATTACTGCAGCTTCTTTCATTTTCCGAGTTTGAAAATTTGGGTGTTTTTGGGTAATATTCTCTGACGGATGTTTTTCTGAATTGTTTTTCTAAAAGGGATAGGAATGAAGTTTGATTTCTGATTAGACGATTTCAAGTAAGGTTGGGTAGGGTAAATCTATCTTTATCGGAAGGGAGGGATAAATTGACACAAAATTGAATAACTATTGCAGTGGATGATGCAGCAAAAGACAGTTATTTGAGCGGAAAGAAGTCTGGTTTAGTGGTTTCAGAGACAAGTTTCCATCTTTTGGATAAAAAATGGAATGATATTGTTGGTTTTGCTTGGTTCTCCGCCTAGTTTTTTCTTCAGAGCAATTGAAGTTTCTTGGTAGGGGGCTTTGAAGCCATTTTATGAATTTTCTGTACTCACTTGAGGCTTTTATGCAATTTTAGGAAGTTTCTATATTTGCTCAAGGGTTGGTAGACTGTGTACTTCTTGGTGAAAAATGGTTCCAACAGGGCCTCCTAATCCACTTGGAGGTTCGCAGTCAGTACCTTCTTCATTACTGCGAACAAATTCCGGTGTAATGGGTGGTCAAGGGGGGTCAATGCCTTCACCAGGTGGTTTTCCTTCTATGGTTTCTCCTCGGACAATGTTTGGGAATATGAATATGCTAGGGAATGCTCCCAATGTTTCACATCAGTCTTTTGCAAATGGAGGTCCTAATGCAGGGCTGGCTGGACCAGGAAGTTCTCAGCGTGGTCCTGTTGATAATGGGGCCGAGACTGACCCACTTTCTGGTGTAGGAAATGGGATGGGTTTTAGTGCTCCTTCAACGACATTTATGTCATCAGCCATGGCGACAAATCCAAATAGCAGTCAAATTCAAGGACAGCAGTTTCCTAACCCCTCTGGTAACCACATGTTGGCTGACCAACAACGATCCCAACAGTTTGATTCCCAGAATTTTCAACATAATCAACAGTTGCAGCAGTTTTCTTCCCCTATCAATTCCCAAACACAGCAACAGCAGCATCAATTTCAATCCATGCGTGGTGGATTAGGAGGTGTGGCACCTGTCAAAATGGAAACAGAGGTGACTAATGATCAAACACCGCAGCAGTTGCAAGCTCTGAGAAACTTGGCACCTGTTAAAATGGAACCACAACAGATTCAAAGTATGAGAGGTCTTGCGCCTGTCAAAGTAGAACAACAACAATCAGACCCATCTTTATTTCTAAATCAGCAGCAGCAGTTCCTTCAGATGTCCAGGCAGTCCCCTCAAGCTGCTGCTGCTGCACAGCTTTTGCATCAGCAGAGGCTAATGCAGTTTCAGCATCATCATCAACTCTTGAAGACTGCCCCTCAACAACGAAACCCATTACAACAACAATTTCAACCGCAGAATCTTGCTGTCAGACCTCCTGTAAAGCCAGTGTATGAGCCCGGGATGTGTGCCCGTCGGCTGACTCATTATATGTATCAGCAGCAACATAGACCTGAAGTAAGAAGAATGGGTCAACTATATCATTGTGTGGCATCTATGCACTACACCCTACCCTACAGCTTTCCCAGATAATGAAAAAGAAAATATGATATCAATTTTTTCCCTAACATATTGCTCTTCCTTCTTTATAGGACAATAACATTGAGTTCTGGAGGAAATTTGTTGCTGAGTATTTCGCTCCCAATGCCAAGAAAAAATGGTGTGTATCTATGTATGGAAGTGGTCGGCAGACTACTGGAGTTTTTCCTCAGGTTCATTGCTTATGTGGAAGTTATTTACATTTTTTGTTTTTGTATTATTTATATGCTCCCATCAAATGAAAATGGAGTTGTAATAACTTTCATGGTACAAACTTAGTATCCTATTACAGCATAGATATATTTTTTATCTCAGATACTTCTTTTAGAGCTCGTTCTATAAATGCTGCTGATTAGCTGTAGAACAACTGTTAGCAAATGAGTTTATATCTTTGATTTATATTGTGTAATTTGCAGGATGTGTGGCACTGCGAAATATGCAGCCGGAAGCCAGGCCGTGGGTTCGGTATGTTATTTGCAGCATCAAGCTCTTGAATTAATTTTTGGTCCGAGAAGCAGTTAACAAACTTTGTGACTTAACAAAACCCATTCTTTAATTACTTCATCTTTATTTATTTGGTTTTCCTCTCAGCTGATAAATTCTGTTTCAGCATCTGATATATCTCAACTCATTTTTTCTCAGAAGCGACTGCCGAGGTTTTGCCCAGGCTTTTCAAGATAAAGTATGAAAGTGGCACTTTGGAAGAACTTCTCTATATTGATATGCCCCGTGAATATCAGAATTCATCTGGGCAAATAGTCCTAGATTATGCAAAAGCGATTCAGGAGAGTGTCTTTGAGCAACTTCGTGTTGTCCGTGATGGTCAGCTTCGTCTAGTGTTTTCACAACCTGATTTGAAGGTTAAAGGAAGAACTGATAGTTTAATATTCAGTGAAGTGCTTATTCATGGACAGTTGAGACCTAGCATGGTGCATATTAATGCTATAATTCGTTTGATCTGAATTCCTTTTGTATCTACTTGGCAGATAGTTTCTTGGGAATTTTGTGCACGGCGTCATGAGGAGCTTATCCCTAGAAGATTGTTGATACCTCAGGTTAACAATTTTACCTTTCAACTGCCATCCCATGGATGTATTTTGAAGTCATGCTTCAACTGTGATTTGAATCATACACTTCTATTCACTGATAGCAGACTTTTAGGTTGCCTAGGTTTAAAATAGGTAAAAAGAAGTTGGTTGACTTTTTTCCTCAAAAATATTTGAAGATGCTTTACAAACTCTACTTGAGAAGTAAAGAACTTCAATCTAATTTCTTGCCACATCTGCTAATTCTGTGTGATTGATCTTTATTATGAACATTACTTATGTAATTGGATGATAGTATGGTCGTGTGAGTATTTATGGTCACTATTTCCTTTTCTTTTGTCTGTTGGTACAAGCTCAATATACATGGAAGTACAAGATTTCCGTTGCATTTTTGTTCTTTTCTAATTTCAAAATTACCTGTTTCTTCTTCTTAGCAATATAGAACGGTTTAGAAGCATCTTATTCTCAATCCTCGCCTTGTGATATTGAAGCGGTTAGGGCTGCTGGACAGACCACTCTAAACTGCTTTTTAGATGAATTAAGCTCCATTTAGTAGTTTGTGGTTGCAATTTCTGTTAATTAATGGAAAGAATTGACTGTTCATAATCGTATGGCATTTCTATTTGTTTTTTCTTCAGTTTTGGGGAGAATCTGTCTCTGAATAATTTTTTTTTGAGAAATATTGCATGGCTGGTTTGTGTTGGGATTTAATATTGTTTTTAAAAGTATTTGGTGGATTGTATTTCGTTCTTGTGATTGGTTTTTGGTAATCTGAGTTTGAGCTGGTTTTATCTCAATTCCTAATAAAGGTAGATTCTGCTTTGAACCTGCTATCTAGGAACAATTTGAAATGCATCGGGTAGAAGCTCTAACCCTGGTTAAGGCCTAAGGGTTTGGATATGTTATGGTCACGGGAGATGTGATGGAGAAAAACTCAGAACATTTTATTAGGTGATGTTTATGCTATCTGAAGTCCATGGAACAGAACTTTTGATGTTCTATAATGTGCTAGTTTTAAGAAATTTGTTTTAGCACAGGATAACAAAGTATAATTTAAATAAGCTCCGTCTTCATAATGGAAATTGAGGACTTGGAAAAAGGAGTCAAATTGTTGTGCTTGTAATATGATCACTTGCTATTCTAACTATTCCTTGGTATATTATTTTATCACAACTGGCTTCAAACGCCTAATATCAAGAAGTCCCTTTCACTTATGAAATTTAGAATCAAATTCTCTCTCAGTAGGATTGTTAAAAGAGTAGTACCGGGTAATGGATCTTGGTGCATTAAATTGTACATAACTCAATTGAAAAAAATCAGAACACAAATGAAAGCTGGATCTAATCTTGTAAACCCTGAATTCATTTCATAATTTCCAGATTTTGTTATCTTTTTAATTTTGCTTTTGTACTTGTACTATAGTAAACTACTACTATATTATAAAAGTCTTCTACAAAAAAGAAAATAAGTGTTAGAAATTAAACTTCAATTGACAAAGTAAAGAAACATGGATTGAAGTTGTCGCGACCCAAAAATGGGTGTGTGATGGCACTCGTCTTATCCCACCAAGAGTCAGCCTAAAATTCGAAACCTAACGATAGAAATGCGGAAAGTAAATGATCAAAACATAACTATGGATAACTTAGTCAAACTCATAAATGCCCTCAAAAGTTGGTTGATATGTGTAGTAGCCTCTAATGTATTACAATAGGATGAAGAGAAATACAAAGTCTTTATGT